GTATTGCCGAAGCGGCGCCGATGGGGAGGCTCCCGACGTCGGTGCACGCCGGCTTGTAGACGTCGAGGGATCCGATCTTTGTGTCCATGGGGTACTGGGTTTTGATCGTACTCAAAAACTGTTTCTGAAAACAACTCGGAAAAGAGAAAAGATGGGAACTTTGTGATGGGATCTGGGTTTTTCTGGGATTTTTGGAATTTGGTTTGGGAAATTGGTTTGGAAGGAGGAGGGTTTTATAGGGTGGTCGGCAGTGGGTGGAAGATACTAGGGGCTGTTTTTCATGGTCAAGGCAGTGGGTTGCAGTGGGTTCTAAATACTGGGCAAATGAGTGGCGCGCAAGGATTATAATATCAATTAATTTTACGAATTTTTTGGATAAAAATCTTAGATTGGAAAGGACTACAAATTTTTAATTGTCCAGTTAATATGCCGGTGAAATTATTTTGCCTAAATAAAAATATACTTTGTGGAATGTGTATTGAGCTTATTATATTGATATCACTCGAATAATAATTCTAATTTTTTTTCCTATTGATCTTACTAAATTCCTAATCTAATGATTTTAGATTTTGCTAATTTTCGATAGACATGATTTTTGATAGTAGGTCAAAAAATAGACAATTCAGATTATGTAAAAAAGTAATGTCACGAATCCGCCTCTTTAGTATATTGTTATCAACTTGATTGATCTAAACGTTCAATTCTTTTTAAGACACAGGTAGTGATTAGGTTAATTGGTAGAATGCCTCATGTATATAAAAAAAAAGGGGTTAAAAAATCTCATATACCCAGTTATATGTAGTTTGATTATACAGAACTAATGCATTATCAGATGTTACGTAAAACGCTTTGTTTGACAAGACGATGTTATCGACAATGGAAAATTTTAGTTTTGATTCTCATCGCATAAGTGGAACACTTTGTATTTTGAGGCCAAGGACCACCATCTTGTCCTAATCTTCTTTTTTTCCTTTGGTTTATGAGTTGGAAATGTCATAGGTTCTGTGTGGCTTAGTTTAGTGCCAAAGTCAAATTTAGTAGTAACGCTTTCAGTTCAAATATTGTGAACATTACATCCACATCCAGAACGTGGTCAATAAGATTAGGAGGAGGATCTTCTACCCTCCTCTTCTCATCTCCTTCCATCTCTTTCTCTCACATATTGTTTTTTTTCTTATTATTTTTATAAAAAAATTAATATAAGATGTCGACGTGGCTTAACCATGACCGTTCAAATAGGAGGGAATGGAATAATAGAAATATTATGAGGGTAGAGAATCCTCCTTCATAAGATTAACAAATTGTTAAAAGGGAAAATTTACTGCAGTAATTAGAACTGCCAGCGGTAAAAAAATAAAATTACAGTGGGCGGTAGACGTATTTTCTTGGTCCTGAAGAAAATACGTCAACTAATTATTTGCTGTAATCTTTGCGTTTCCTAATCCCGAAAAATAACAATTTAAATTATAATACTACCTTGCGACTGGTGGTCAACGACACGTCGCTTTCTGATTGGTTGTCTTGGCGCGTAATTCTTACTCTCGTAGATTCAAACAAGAAGAACGACCACAAGGTCATGCGAGGTTGGTGGGGTTGAAACGGCGGCGTAAAGGGGGACAATACCGTGATCAAAGGTTTAAAAGGACCGAAATCCACGGTTTGTGGAAACCGGAGGAGTTGCTGGTAATTGCAAATTCGAAGTTTTTTGGATTTCATAATTTAATTAATTAGTTGTATAATTAAACAAATTAAATTGAGCAAGTTGTATGCATGCACATTTCGACAGTCAGTGTTGGACACGTACGTACTAAATAACATGTTATGGTAGTGACGTGGCACGCATTCACAGGCATGAATGTGAGCCTTTTTGCACTACAGTCACAGACGAGGCATCCCTTTTTTCTTCTTTAGTAAATTGGACCGGCACGAGAGACTGTTTTGTAAGCATAAATACGAATTGTGGGCCCTACACTCATGTTAGGTGATCAATTTTTTGAAAGAGAAATGATAATCTCACCTCGTTTTTTCTGTTCTACGCGTTCTTGTTTAATGAACAAAATTGAGATTTTATTATAAAATTAATCAGAAATATGGAAAGTAACATAACTTTTTTATAAGCGCTTGCAACGTTTGGATTTTCGCCAATGTATCATCTCATTTACTTTTTGTTATTTTCGTTTGATTTACTCAATATCATGCTCGTATTAAATAAGAGTGTGTATTAGGATTAAAAAAAAGGTATATGGTTCTCATATTTCTTTTGGGGTGCCGAGCATTATGTGCGGTAAAAAAATTTAGTATGTTACAGTGTATCTTATACAACGAAAATTTTTATCGTTAGATTTTGATTATTAGATTATTAACCTAGAATCTAACGATAAAACTCATGTGAAACATTCTATCTATTGTCCATTACCGCAGGAATAACTATCATGCAATAAATCGTGATGGTATGTCAAGCTAATGAAAAAAAGAAATTCAGTAGAGCGAAAGTTTTTTTCACTAATCTCACATTCTCTCACAAATACAGATAAACGTCATTTTCTTATCTTGGTTAATCCGGCCCTACTTATAACAATATGACAACTTCCTATTAGACAACTCTACAAGCCTGATTACACAATGCACTTTAAGTCAATCACATAATCATCACATAAAAAAATTAAAACTCATGACAGTATATAATTAATTAGATTGTGGAAACATTTCTAATGCAAATAAGTCTATGTCGACTGTAAGTGTAAGACTATATTAAGAGAATAAAAAAAATAAAATAAAAAAGCTTTGTCGTGATTAATAATGAATTGAGAAGGGTATGCGGTGGCGCCACCGCTGCCGCTAACAGAGTCACGTGACGTGACTGAACGTCTCTTAGATTATCATATTCATGCGATGTAATGCAAGACAGCAAGTAATCAAATTTAATTCAGACTTCATCGACAATAAAACAATCCTTGAATTTGCTATCTCAATAACATTCCTTCCATTCTTCACGTGGGAATGTTTGTACCGGGGTTAGAATTCTCTTTCCTCCGTATTTTCGCTCTTTCTCTTTTTTTCTCATAATTTTTTTTTAACAATTTAATATAAAAAATTAGGACGGAAGAGGATTCTACTTTGCTCGTTTGTGCAACAGTGCAAGTCCAAACTCACAACCAGAGACTTTACGTGCCGATGACTATTTGTACAAGGGGACGTTATCATACTTTTCCAGTGGGACCTTTTCGTTCTATTTTTTGGACTTGGCTTCTCTGCTCTTCCACTTCTCATACACTCCCATCCTTTTATATTTGTGCAGTCACGATTAAGTCACGTCAACATTTTATATTACTATTGTTTTTGTCTAATTATCTTTATAAAAAAAATTAATATAAAATATTAATGTGGTTTAACCATAACCACACAAAATAAGAAATAATAGAAGTGTATGGGAAATGAAAGGGCTGAGACGTCGGGTCCCTATTTTTGTGTACTTCTCTTTTTAATTTCAAATGTTGTGATAATCAAACAGTTTAGTTTCTCGTTCACTATTTATAGTTTAATTTTATAATATCAACAAAATTAGAAATCATGACTGTTTAATTCATTTTATTAAAATTTCAGTATTTAACTGAATAATGTGGTTTGTCTCTTCAACGGGATAGCCATTTTCACTGAGTTGATTTTCAAGAGTAATATAAGAAATAGACAATTTGGATCATTGTAAAACTTTAAATGATAAAGAGAGTCGAAAAACATTCGAAAGAAGAAGGTTACTAGCATTCTTTTCTTTTTTTTTAAAAAAAAATATTGAGAGGTGAGGGTTTGAAAATATTATTAGGAGAGAATAAAGTTTCAAACCCGAGATATATGTGATGATACCCACAACAATATCCACTAAAATATTGGACCACATGCAAGGTTTCTAGCATTCTTCCTGAATGCTGCTAATGTCACCCACCAGTCCTATTTTCCCATCCTAGCTTATATTCCCACCCACCACTAAAAATTGAAAAATCAAAATGCTCCTTCCTCATCCACCTTGATTCCTGAAATAATCTTGATATACTTCTTCTTTAATTTGAAACAAATAAAATAAATCAAAAAACTGAAGGAAAACTCAAAGAACCCAGCATTTGTATCTACCAAGGCACCAACCCGCCGCGACGACGACGACAAACACCCACATCTCTCCTAAGTTCCGCATCGGACCATGAATTACCGGCAAACATGAATTCAAATTCTCTCTAGTCTCTTTATACATGTTCCCGTCTTCTCTCTTGCATTCATGCTAGTTTTTATGAAGAAAAGTGTTCTTCAACGACTCGTTGAAATCAAGAAGATTGCGCACGAAAATTTCCAGTCTGAAATAGTGAGCACAGGAATTTGGTGCACAATCGCATTTTTACTTGGGCGATTGACTATTTCTTGGTGTTATTGAGTATTCCATCTGTTTGCCAACAAAAATGGTTTTATCACATTTTAATTTTTAGACGATAAGATTTATCACTTTTTAATCTTTAGAATATCTTGTTTTTGTTTAGGTCTTTAAGGTGATTTTGCATTAGGTTAAATATATCAATAAAATTTAAAGTGGGTGCAGAATTAAGACAATAGGCTGGATAAAATACCATTCATCCACATTAAGTTGAGGGAATAGTTTAAACTTGTGACGCATTTTGAAAGGGAAAAAAAAACTCTAATCATGATGACAATTCAACACTTGATACAATTTGATATATTATAGTAAATACAAAACTGCTACTTTTTGTCACATTTTCTGTAACACATTTGTACCACATCTTCAATAGAGACAGAATCCAATATACTTCTTCTCGACCCTACCTTTACTAGAGATGTACAAACTTCTAGTTTCAAAGGCCTTCAAGAGCGTAGCCTTTGAATTAAATAAACATAGTATTACTTTATTAAGTAAGTAGACGTGCTATAAGCCTATAACATATGAAATCGAGTAGAAGCAAAGAAATCAGCAAGACGCAAACGTAGCAAGTGTTAAAGCATGACCTCAAATTTCAGACCTCGTCCATCTTATTTGATATTTCTGTGTAAAATTTGGTCTTTAATTTCTACACCAAGGAAAATAAATTACACGATTCATACAACGAAAAGGTATGAAACTTTTACCATGGCATTACAAGACCACTTTTCTGGGGTTGGAGGAACACTTCTCCTATACTACGAAACAATGGATGCTCCTCCAAGATTGTATGGCGACCCAACGTCGCAACCAGGGCCAAAACTCAGTCTCCTTCTTACTGTAATCTAAAAATTGGTTTATCTTTTCTATACTCAAAGCAGTGAAGCTATGTACACGAAAGCCACGAGCTCCGTGATCCGACCTTTCCTCTCACCTGAGCACGGGTTTCTGCCGTGTTTTGGTAAAATGTATGTCCCCGTTAAGCACAGAGCTAATAAACGCCTCTACTTCTTCCGTAGTCATTTCACCGTCAAATGCTGCGAATGTCCCCCTCCGATGTTTGTAGGCAACCAAGACCTTCTCTAATGATTTAAATCCTGCTTCGTCGAAAGCATTTAAGAAGGTCGCCTGCTTGGCGGCATCCAAGAGAGTGTAGGAAACAGAATCCTTGCCCTGAGCTGAACTCTGTCGCCTTGATAGCGATTTCTGAGAGACCTGAAAACGAAAATATAGAGAACTTATATCGTTACTCTTTCAACTTCCATAAGAAGATCATTGTCATGTGAGAAACCGGGTGTTCTTTATAGCAGTGAGTCTATAAAAGCAAAAGTATACTCACCGCAGTCAAAATTGATTCCAACTTATTTCTTGCTTTGGAAGATCTGAATGCGCCAACGATGCAAACCGGAGTTTTCTCACCACAAAGGGCATCAAAATTAGACTCTGTCAACAGAGGTATTTGATTCTCCCCCGAATCAGTCGGTGATTTCTTGGCCTGACTTGAAGCTGCCTTCTTGCTCTTTTTTTCAAAACCTTCGAGCAAAGCACTGAGCTCCTTAATTGTAGACTTCATATCTTTGGTGGTAATGCCTGCTTTTAAGACATGCTTCTCCCCGTTCGGAAGCCAACCAACTATAGCTGGAAGTGCACCAACTCCCAGCTTCTTCACTGCTGGATCAGAAGCATCGTGGACCTGCATGATCATTTTGAAATGATTTTTTTATCCAAAAACTCAAGATTCTCATCAATGAAAAACTGTAAGGTGAATGAAAACAACTAAAGCTTCTTTTCCCTGAAGGAAAAGTATATGATTCACTTCATTGTAGAAGTACCATGGTCATCATTACACCCTACCCATTTCATATGCATATATGTACATACATATAAAAATATATAGTTGATACACACACACACACATATTATATGGCCACATTCTTCATATATCGAAAAGATTCAGAAAAGGAAATTTGAGTAGATTAATCCGACAAAAATCACCACATACCTCTGCATCATAGAAACTGAAGTGACTGCGATGCAATCCACTGAGGACACGCCAGATAACAGGTGTATCTTTCTTGGTGGAAAGAAGCACCACACTAGGTAATTTATTGGTTGTAAAAGTGGAAGACTCGAAGCGGTTCAAGTCAACCCGTTTCGAAAATTTTGGCAGATTGTCTTGGCAAAATGTCTTCAAAGGTTTTGCAGCCCAATCACCATCATACTCAACCAATGAACCCTTTTCACTCACTTTGTACACAAATACTCTGGGCATTCTGCTGGGGTATATGCCAAGGTCCTTGCAGAGAGATGGTTCCGTCTCACAGTTTATGCTTCCAACCTGACAGAATAGAACGAAAGAATGAGCATACCTGGATATCAAAGGCAGTCATATTGTAAGGAATGAGTAAGAATCTGAACATACCTTTAAGGCTCCCTGCAGGGAACTTGCAACTTCCTCTATGGTATTTTCAACATGTTGCTTCCCCTTCAATGAAGGAGTGTAAGAGAACAGGAGCCAAGCCATCCCTCGGTGAACTATTTCTTTCTTATACACCTGTGGACTGATGGTCGTAATGCTCACCGGAGAAGTCCTAGACCCAGGCTGAGAACCAGGTCGAGACCCAGTTGAACCGCTGAAACCATCAAACTGACCCCCACCTCCAGGTTTACCCCCAAAAAAGTTTGAGAAAATGTCTTCCATACCAAAACCAAATGAACTTGGACCACTGGGACCTCCAAAGGAAAAGGAGAATGACTTGGAACCTCCCTGCCCACCCATGCTCTGCCAATCACCAGGTCCGTAGGTAAAGTGGTTCTGTCCTGGTCCACCATTTGTGAAGTAAGTATATTCACCGTGATCTCCAGGAGAACCAGCTCCAAATCCAGGATTTCCCTTTTCATCTCCATACATATCATAATTTTTCCTCTTCTCTTCATCAGATAAAATCTCATATGCTAATCAAAGAAGAAGAAACAAAACGACATTAAGTACAAACTTATGAGGATGTGGCTACTACAACAGGATAGGTAAATAGGAATTGAGGTAGCTTCAACCAAAAAGGAAAGACAAAAGGAATCAATACTGAAGAGAACTTGGAGAAGTCATACCATTGTTTATCTCAGCAAACTTTGCTTGAGCTCCCTTGCTTTTATTCTTGTCTGGGTGATATTGAAGAGAGAGCCTAGAGGGCATTATTCGAGTTAGCATGAATTTGGTAAAAAGCAGGTCACACTAGCATTTACATTGCGAATGCACAAGCACAAGCACACACACAAACACAAAAGAGACACAACTGGAGAGAACAGGCCCTTACGTAATGTGAATCAATAAAACCACCCTAAAGCATACTCAGAAACATGTATTCCTTATTTAGGAAAATTAAGCGGCCCTAACTTATGGAGATAAACTCTTTATTTTTTTAATAGCATGAAGAGAAACATAGTTAGTCTCCTAGTATCAAATTATACAAAAGGAACAAACACTGACTGCTTACAATGACAAGTCTAAAATGCCGTAATAACACAAACATTCATTGTCATTAAGCTGAGGTCCTATATAACAGCTCAACATCACCACTAAGTCGCCCTCACAACAAAGAACAGTTAATCACTTATTCAAACAAGGCCACATATGAAAACTCAATGGCAGTGCCAAAAATAGGCCTGAAGAATTATAGTTTGTCACTAAAGCTAGCCCCAACTCGTCCCAACCCAATAGCAGACCTTCGCAGAGACCTAAATGATATATAAATGATAAGTAGAGTCACAGTAAGGGCCTATTATGGATCGGATTTGGAAAGGATAAAAGCCCTTCCTGAAAATCAGTACGAACTTCTAAATCAAATGTGTCTGACAGAAAAAAGTTAGAAGTTCTTCTGGATCATAAAAGCACTTTTGGGAAGCACCTAACAGATGCTTCTTCACGAAGGAGCACTTGGACTTTTAAGCCCTAGAACTTGGATTTTCAATGGAAATGTCAACGTGCTTCTAATAAAAGCACTTCCTCGGGAAGCAATCCCAAACGAGCCCTGAGCAGTGAGCTTTAATACTTTCGATACCCACCCACAAGTACCCCCAAAAACAAAATCTCATCCCCCGTGGTTCAGCACAACTAATTAAGCACATTACACATAAAGGGTACTGGAACGTACTTGTGGAACGCTTTCTGAATTTCACGCTGACTTGCATTCCGCTCCACTCCAAGGACCTGATAACAATTTCAAAACAATTTCATAAAAAAATGGGTAAATGAGTACAAACCCAAAAATTCATCAGCAAAAATTAAAAACCAATTTCAAATTATGCTCCTTTTGCACCATTTCATCACAATTTCGTCAAATTTCCTTTCCTTCCAACAGCAAAATCCAGCGAGGTTTTTTCGAAAGCCATTCAATCAAAAACCTCCACACTCAAATCCGCTATATTTACCTTCAATTCATCCACATTGGACTGGAAAAATATGAAAAATTAAAAATTAGAAGAAAATCGAGAGAAAATCAAGAACCGTACCTTGTAAGGGTCTATAGTTTTCGCTTCCATGGTTAAGAGGAAGAAGAGCAGCGCCAACACGAAGATGCAGACTGCGAACCGGCTCTCCATATCGGATCACGAAAATTCACAATGAGATTTTTCGGCTGCGAGCTTCGCGGTTTTTCGGATTTTTACGGCTATGAGCGACGGACAGAGGGGGAGGAGATTGAAATCGAGGGCTTATAAAGGTGCTTCGCGGGATTCCAAACGAATCCAGAATCTTCGGGGGTAGGTACACGTGGCGGTATGACGTGTTCCCACGCAAACGGACCAATGGTATTTTAGAGTTCTTGATTATGTCAAGGAAACGCACCGCCAGCACGCGCTTTGCTTCCCCACGCTCTGCGCTTGGGTGAGTCAGCGGAGACGAATGCCATACGCGCCACAAAATTTAGCCGTTAACCAAGGGGTTAGGTTAACAAGTTGCAACACAATAAATCATTGGGGCTTTTAGATCTAGGTCCGCAAATATATATGATTTTTAGAAGTGAGTTAAATTATTTAATTTCATGTTTTGATTTTTTTATACTCTTTTTATATGGGTGAAGCGAAGATGAGGATACTTCGTTAGATGTGTGAGCATACGAGAAATGATAAGATTAGGAATGAGAATATTCGAGGTAAAGTAGGAGTAGTTGAAATTGAAGGAAATATGAGAGAAAATCGGTTACGATGGTTTGGACATATGCAACGAAGGTTTACTAACGCTCCGATTAGAAGATGCAATTATGAGACAGAGATCCAGGGCCAAAGAGGTAGAAGAAGACTTAAGAAGAATTTGGAAGAGACTCTAATAAAAGACTTAAAGAACTTGGATCTAACGGAATACATTGACACAAAACCAAGCACAATGATGTTATAGGATCCATATAGCCGACCCCACTTAGTGGGAAAAAGGTTTTGTTGTTGTTGTTATTGTTTTTATATTTTCTAAAAATCAATTAAAATCTTCTAATATCTATAACAAAAAATTAATACACTAACATAAATCTATCTATAAAACATTATACCCCTAACTCAAGTAACAAAAATATGAATATATATTATACAATAAACAAGATACGAAACCTAACTAAAAGATAGAAAAAACATAATATACCTATAAGTAAGGCATATTAATCTGCGACATGTTGATTATAAAAATAAAAAATAAAAAAAAATGTCATATAGGTAAATAAACATAATTAACATGTGATATAGGTTGATTATAAAAAAATAATAATAAATAGGGTTTAAAGCGGTAGGAAGAACAACAAATCACAAAACAATAAATAAAAAGAAATAATCAAAGAGATAATTAGGAAGAAATTTAATTTTTATAATAAATTTTATTATTGAAGAGATAATTATTGATAATTAAATAATTAAATTTAAGGAATTGAACTTATTTTTATAAACTGGATTATTTCTACTATTGGTTTAAAAAATTAGACTTACATCAAGTTTTCTCATTAGATCCAGGTCCAAAAACATATATAATTTTTAAGAGTGAGTCTAATTATCGAATTTGTTCATGTACAAGTTGAATTTGGGACTTCAATAAAAAAAAAAAAAAAAGATACCAATAGATTGTAGTGTTATTAACGACCATGAAATTAAACAACAGAGGACGTTCGTTAATCAAATCACGAGTTCTTTTGGGGAAATCTTGTGTTATAACCTTAATCATGTGTCTTGTTCGAGAAACTTAATAAGATTTGGGATCTAAAAATAAATACATTTTTTCCTCTCTTGTGCACCGCTTGCTATGCTTATTTGTTCGACTGATCTATTCAGTTTGATGACCATAGAGATAAAGAGATGTAATTGAGAAACCAAAAACTGTGGAAAACAGCTCCTATTTTGTGCTAATGCAACATCAAATCAACATTCAGGAAAAATCAGAAAAGTGTGGATTTCTCTTTTAAATCCGTAAACAGACCTAAATTAAGAATTAGATTAAGTGGGACGAGTTAATCGTTCTGATTCCAAGTTGTTCGAATTCCTCCTCTGTTAAGAAAACATGCTCTCAGAATTCAAAAATCTTTTATATATAACTTAAATTTGACGTTAATCGACTACAAAATCTCAGAACATACAAAAAACACAGCGACTTGTGGAAATGCATATTAGAGAAACCCGGCTAGAATCAACGAAGGCTCATGCTTGAGACTCGGCACCGTTCGTTGTTGCGTCCATCGGTTCGGCTTCTCCAGACTCCTCCTCGGGCTTATCGCTCTTCTTGCCTACAATGTGCAACGACATCAGAATCCAAACTCTAAAAAACGACACTGCACTCTCTCCAGGACGTGCTTAACTCGAAGTCTTACCTTTCTTCTTCTTTCCACCACCTTTCTTCTTCTTTGTGGCCAAAGACAACCAGGCTTTGATTTCAGGATCATCTACTTGTTTAGTGGGCTGCAGCTCCTGTACAGGATGAGATGTGATCCGGTCTGATCCGTTTGGCATTAGCAAGACGGTGAACTTGATATGAGCAACAAAGTCACCTGCGAAAATCAACAATTCATGGAATCAGGTTGAGAATGAGAAAGTAAGGGTTTCCGGAAAACATGTCCAGTTAAAAATATCGTTACCAGGCTTCTCGTGCAGAACAGGATATGGCTGCAAAAGCTCGTGGTTGACGCATTCAAGTAAACCAAGCCTAGCCCTCTTCTCTTCCAAAGCTCTAATGGCAAGAGAAAACACTCCCATTAATAAAACCAATAAAGGCTGAAGATCTAGCGACAACATTTACGAAAATAATATAAAGTTAACAAACCTAGCAGTGAATGGCATGATGGGAAAGAAAATAATATAAAGTTAACAAACCTAGCAGTGAATGGCATGATGGGAAAATTCTGGCTAATTTCGCTGAAAATAAACCTAGAAGCTTTCATCTTCAAGTGGTAGCTCTTGTCAACAGCTCGTTTATAGATTGTCGTCTGTTTCTCGTCCAGCAACTTAGGCTGCAAAACGACATAAAATACATTAATACAGAAGTCAAATAATTATGTAACAGAATGGTAGTTAGGGCTGCTGATTGTAACTCCTTTATTACCTTGCCTTCACCAGTGCTTGCGACTATATCAACTGCATAAACTTCATTCTCCTCAAATTCTGCATCGTCAACTCTTGTATCTGGATTAGAAACACTTAATATGACCTTGTTCCCGTCTATCACAAACTGCTTGAGCTGATGACTAAGAACACCTTCAACAATTTTGCAGTCATAAGCTGCTGCAACCTTTTGTATTGCCTCTGTTACATCTTTGTTCTGTAGGAGCAAAAAGAAAATAACATAAAAATTTGGATAATGTAGTAATAGAAACAGAAGAATTATGCTTTACTAAACACCAAATAGGATGCATGTGTACATGTTTAAATTGACCATAAACATAGCACAAAGTATGTATTTGAAGATATATGTAGGCTAATTTGAATGACGATTGCACAGACAACAAACACATCTGTACTAGCACCAAGATGTAGCCAGTTGGTCTAGGCAACAGGGAAAAAGAGGAAATCAATAAGATTCAATTTCCTCGGCAAAGTTGCCTACAACAATGGATTGATCAATTAGGTTTCTCTTTTTGCTTCATACAGCAATGTATTCATAATAAGGAGGGTTAATTTAGCTAATTGAATGATGATTGGACAGACAAGAAATACATCTGCACTATGCATCAAATGTAGCAAGTTCGTTTAGGCAACAAGGAAAGGAGAAAACCGATAGAATAATCGATCCCTCGGCAAAGTTGCCTACAACTATCAAATACGCTCACATACTAATCCTATCAGAGTAACTATGACAAAAAGCCTCACTTGGACGTTGGCCCATGGCTTTCGACAAGTATTCATCATATAGATAAATGTATGCGCAAGTGATGAAAAGGTAACAAACTGTGGGAGTGCATGTAAGGTGTTGGCACCAAGACCAAATTCAGTGCATCGATAAGACCAAAATCAGTGCAGGGATTAAACAAAAAAAAAAAAAAAGGAAATCTGATCATATGATAGAAACAAGTATAATAGAAAACCTAATAGAATCTCTATATATTTCTAACTTCCCTGCACTGATCAGAAATGACAACCAATTTGTCATATTTTGGAAGAAGAAATGTGTATGGATCCAAAAAATCAATGGAAAATACATGATGCTCCATCAGTGTAACTATGACAAAAAAGCTTAATCGGATTGAATCCATAGCCAGTGATAGATTTTCATCATCTGGAGAGATCATGTTAATTAAAGAATCGACACTACAGTAAATGATCAAATTGAGATATCCCAAAACACCAACGTTATGATAGCTGAAAGTCAAACAAGAATGAAAGTACTCTAGGGGATTGAAGTGCTGTAGGCTCAAAGGACAATATGATGAACAATGTAGATATGTCAACCAGAGCTGCCCATCAATAGCCAAGCATAATGTAGGCAACAGGGAAAAAGAGGAAATCAAATTATCATAGATCACCTCGGCAAAGTTGCCTTCAAAACCTCATTCATAGGGAAGACATGTTATTATCACCGTAAATTGCAGTGAAATCATGCTATCACATCAGCAATAGAACAACTTGGCATTCTAGCTAAAAGACAGATGGAAACCTTGTGGAGATCTATGCCTACCAACTACCATCTGAGAATATGACAAGGGAAAAATGAAAAGAAAATAAATTAAATATCCAAGAGGTGATTGACAATTGGATAACATAGGGTTCCCTCAGGGTAACTATGACAAAAAGCTTCATTTGGATGAAGGTCCATAGCTTATACTAACGTTTCATCATCAGGGGGTGCAATGACCATAAAACACATCTTTTCAGGTTACGAAAACATAGAAGCAAATGTTAATTCAATGCATAACATCAAAATAGAAGACCACAAAGTGTAAACGCTTAACTAATGGCCAAGAAATCAAAGTTCAGATCAATAAAAATAATGCAATCATTCAGCATCCTCAAACAATCCAGTAACGTATTACAGAAAAAGTGTAATAACTCAATACAATAAATTACCTTTCTCCCTGGCCTAACAAGCCTTAATGCAACTTCAGCAGCAGTATTAGCAGCTGCAATAACATCAGCAGCCCTTCCTGTAACCGGTCCTGCTTGAAGAACATGAGTATGTGCGACTATGGCAATGAACCCATCAATATGACAGCCCAAATCACTGTGTGAGAACAAATTACATCAG